CATGGTGTAAGTAGTGGTGATTTTTGGCCCTGATTTTTGACAGTCTAATACTTGGAAGACTTGAGCTTGCTTTCAGATTGAGGTCTTATGTTTGGAGATGGTTTTGGTGGGGATGCTTGCGGTAGCTTCCGCCCTCGGTCTGCCCTACTTTTCTTTCGGAGGTTACTACCTCCTGGCAGGTCTTATTGGAACTGACTTCTGTCCTCTCCTGAGCTGCTGCTGTTGCTAAGAGCCTGGCACATTAGTGTAAACCAGATGTGAAATAGTTCACGTAAACAAATGACTCAGGAGCAGATATGTGCTTCTGTGGAGACAGAAATTTCTGGCAAAAGGGTTAATCAAAAGTGAGAGGTGCTGGCTGCTTCAGCTATCTCAGCTAAACTAACCTTGAAATTTATGTCAATGGCCTCACTGAGCTTCTGTAGCTGTTTAAGCCAGGTGAGTTGATGTTACTGAAGTCTAGTGTCTTCTTTTTGGCAGTACTGGCACTACTTTGGCCTTGGTGAGCCAGTACAGGCAGCTAGACAAGTGGTAAATGAATGATCCAAAAATAGGGGAAAAAAAATGCTTGGCATAGCTACTGGAGTGGCTAAGGGGCCAATGAGCTCTAGTGCTGGATGCCAGAAATAAAGGGAAAAGGCTGGGATTATGCAGCTCCACGGAAAGAGAGCCAGGGCTGTAGCAACATTGGTTCAGACTGCAGTTTTACTCCTTGCTAGGAAGAAAAATATGGCATTGTTGCTGTCGTTAGTGTACTATGGATTGGGGAAAAATGCATTAAAATAGTTGAGAAGAGTAAAGGAAAGTTCTACTTGTAAGACTTTTTAAGCTCAATAAATGTTTACTCAGCCATGTTAAAACTACAGATGCCTGCCTTCTTACTAGTGATTTCATGACCTATTTAAACCAGTTTAAGGCTTTAAGGTCCCACCTTCTGCAGGCCAGTGAGCCATTGCCTTAGTAACACTGACGCTAGAACTAGGGCAACTGCAGGACGCGTTTGGATGTAACTTGTGACTGTAGTGGTGGCAGCTTCTGCTGCTGCTGCCAGAAAAGTTTTAATTAGTTTCCGTTTTGTGACAGTGTGAGGGCTAGCACTGACGCGAGGGAGGTGGCAGGATCGCAGTCGAGGGCAGAAGGGAGGGTGGGACCTTCCAGTCTCATAACCCTGAAACTTGGCGTTTGGGTGCGGTCTCCCGCAAGAAGGGCCGTGTCCTAGCTGAGAGGCGTAACTGGGGAGTGGATCTGCCAAGCTATGCCTGCGTCTCCTGCTTCAGGCCTACAAATACACTAGACTCTTAGTATTTGGCTAGCTTAATGTGAGTTAGCGATGAAGAGTTATCTTAATGAAGATCAACCTTTCAAAAACGGTTGTATAGCAGGTAATTTTGAGGCTAAGGTGAACATTAGGTACTTTGGGAAGCTTATACTGAAGATAGTGAATTAAGGAATTAGCTTGTATTTTGTTCTTACCCTTTAATTTAAAATAATAATAAAAACATTATTATAAGAGGAAGGTGAAAGCGTCTCTGCTCATTTGCCATCTTTTCACAGAAATGAGCAAATTTCTTTTGTAATAGAGCATTGAATTTCTCAGGTCAGCACTTTGCTTTTTAACTGTGGCAAGGATGAATAGTTGAGTTAGGATGGTAGTTTCACATCTGAATGCAAATCAAGACTGAAACCAGAAGTCTGCTGGTTTTAGAGAGGTGTAAATTTTTTCACTCCAGAGTGGTGAATTTTGATGTGTGTCTATCCTTCATTTCAGTAAGGTAGCATTTTCTTAGTTAAACCAGTGAGAATTTGGGGCCGACGTTCTCATTTTGGTTTATCTGGCTTGTGTAGTTGACATTGCCAAAATGATTGAAGCCAGAGTAAAATGAGTAGAAATGTCTGTACGTAATCTTATGCAGACTTTTCTTAAAATTAAGAGCATAGGTAGGGTTGCAGATAGATGCGTTTTTACAGATCTAATTCCAGTTGAGCTGTGTTAAGACTTGAGTCTCTCTGTTCTGTTTCACAGCATAGCTGGAACTTTAAACTGAGCCAGCTGACCCCCCTGAAATACACTAAGCAATAGCAGTGGATTAAACAAACTTCAAACTGTTCCCCATACGGTGGTCAAGCCTACAACTTTGGTTGCAGTACAAATTTAACTGTAGATTAGAGTCCAATTTTCTGGCCTACTTCTTCGTTTGAAGAAAAACATTTTCAACTATGGTAATTTGTGCTTGCGTTGCTTTTAGAGTTTCTATTGATATATATTTTTTCAAACAGTTGCCAAAAATATTTGTGTAGCAAGATCTACTGAGCCTTTACACTGTTACCACAGTCATCTTTTTAAAATTCCCTTGACCGGGTAAAACTAGAAAGCAGAAAATTTGTGGTTACTGATGCTTTCTGTATGGATATAGCTTATTGTAGCAGAGTATTTTATCAGTGGTAATTAGCTTTGCTCCTTGTGGCTTTTATAAACTTGATATTGGATGTTTTTGAAATGAAAAGAGAAAGTGTGTAAAGAAAATTACTTTGTCTCTGAACTTTTGATGGCTCAGTCTGCCACCTTGTGGTAATTTGAATGTTTTCTAAAAACTAACACAGGAGAAAAGGTGCATCAAATTGCTGCTGTCTCCTGCGTGCTTTTATGTATTCTGTGGATTAGCGTTAAAGGCAGCTTTCAGGAACGCTGCATGTTATCCAAAAACGTTTGTTTAAGCCACAGCGTGCTTGAATTTGGTTGCTGCTACTAAGATTTTGCTCAACTCTCTTGCTTAAATCATAAAGATGAATTGTGTTATTCTTGAAAGACAAAAGTTCTTTTCCTGAGAATTTTAATTTTTTAGCTTCTTGGGAGTTGTCTAGAATATCAAAATTGAAAATTTCATAGCTTGCATGTGTAAGTTTTGTAAAATACTTTTTATAACTTCCTTATTTCAAGCGTTCTGAATCTATTTAGGATTTTAAAACACTTGGTGCAAGTATTTCCAAAGAACTCTTAAATTATAGTAACTCGCTTTTAATTCAAGAAGTTGAAACAGATATAAAACATAATAATGAATGTGTTAATATTTGCTTAAAAAAAAAAACAACAGCAAAAAAAACCCCAAAGCATAGGTTTTGCTGAGATAAATGGAAAACTGAGATGACTAATGGGATAATTTAGTGGGGTTTTGTTTGTTTTTGAGAGGCATAGGAAGGAAATTGCTTTCCTATGTTTTAATGCTGCAAACTGCATGGAAATGTGCAGCGCCTGGTGGCGATATATGAAAACATATACAGCTCTTTTGGCTGGCCCTGCTCTAGCTTTCTATATCTTGTAGCGCTATGGGAGTGTAATGAAAGGAAATTTGTTACTTAAATTTCAATTCTAAACTTGTAGTGCTAGAGGGAGCTGTTTCCTGTTGAGACCTTTCACTCCCTTGAAAGGTGCTGCTTAGAGAATGAGCTGCAGCGCCCTTTTAGGAGTCAGCTGTCCGACACAGAGCTAGCGCACAGCAGCTGCGATGTTCTAACGACCACTTGCTCTGATAGGACCCCACTGCCTGGTGGAGCGCTGGTCCCTTTGGTTGCTGCTTTTTTGCAACCCCCCGCAAAAGAGTCAGCGTGCTCATTGTGAGGTGTCTTCAACTTTATCCTCCCTACCTTACTGTGGTCAGCAGCCATCGTGCAAGTGCAAGTGGAGATTCTTTTAGGAGGTTTTACCTCCCTCCCCTTCCTCTCCCCCCCCCCCCCCCCCCGATCATCAGGTGCAAATTTGAGAGGCAAGGATCTCCTCCATCCTGCAGTTCCTGGTATGCTGATGTGGGAACCTATGGAAGGCTATATTTGCAAATGTTTGACAAGTATGACTATATTTTGAAGAGGGTTTATTTTAAAGTGCTCAATAAACTAATCTTGTGGAGCTGGTCATAAATACTCCCTACAGTGACAAAATGCATTCCCCCTGCTTTTACTCCCTTCAGCTGTGTTCAGTACCATGTTTGCTCTAGGAACATAATCTGCATTCTTTACTGCTTGTCCATTGGCAGTATTGATCGCTACGTTGGTGTCACCTAGCAGTTTTGGAAACAAAATATTCATGGATCCCTTTGACCATATATCTCCACTTTTAAATCTGGAGAGGTCCCTGTAAGTCCGTATCTTTAATAATTCTTCTATTTGTTTTATTGTGCATAAAATTTGTGCTACTTGAGAGCAACCTCAGTGCAAGCCCTGAAGTGGGGGAGGTGGTGGCAGCCACACATTCTCCTTCCTTTCTATGTCTGTTAGCTGTTGGACAGGCTTGTTGAAAACAAATTACAGCAGCAGCTTCCGACAAGGCTCTTCTCTGTGTAATTCAGTGCTCTGGGCATCTGGTCCCCACCGATCTGCTCCTAGCTTCCCCGGCTGCCCGCAGTTGCCGGCTGCAGCTGGTGGCTCATGCAGCCAAGCGCTGCTGGCACTGGCAAGCGGCAGCGGGTGCTGTGCTTGGGGGCAGTGTCAGGCTTGCACCACCCCTGGGGTCTGAGCAGGTCTCCTGGCGGCGCCTTCTCACCCTCAGCCTGTCTGACAAGTGAGCAGGTCACCGACTGTGGCAGCCACGGGCTTTAAAACACTTTAGAGTAATTGATACTGCATTGCAAGTGACTCCTGTATTTTTTCTTCAAGGTCTTCTATGTGTAAAGTTTTCTCACTTAAATCAAGCTTCTGTGTGGACTTCTGTAGTAAAGTCTTTCACCAAGGCAAAAATTCTTTTGATGTATCTGAAAATTGAAGTATTTCTGTACTTCACCTTCCATTTTAAACCAACAAAGTTCTCTGGATGACATAATCTTTCACGAATAATTAGCTTTGATCTATTTCACTGCTTGAAAACATCTCAGCAGTGAGTTGTGGGAGTATTTGGTATTGATGTTAGTTTGGTCTCAACCTGCTGTTAAATCATTATAACGGTTGCTGGCTGAACGGAAGTTTTCTTAAGTGTTCTTGTGGCTTAACTACAACATCAGCAAGCCTCGAGGATGAAACGATATCAAATCCGTGAGCCAAAGTTAAATCATTATAACGGTTGCTGGCTGAACGGAAGTTTTCTTAAGTGTTCTTGTGGCTTAACTACAACATCAGCAAGCCTCGAGCTTCAGGTCAGTGTTTCCGTAGTTAAATCTTGGTAAGTTTTAGTTTTGGATGTTCTTTTTATCTCTTCATCAATGCTGTTTTGTGAGCTGGGTATCTGAGGTCCACAGTGATTGTTTTAGTTGAATTTTGGTCTTGATTTTTAAACTTTACCATGTTAACTAGGATTGTATTAATTTTAAAATTATCTTAGTAATTTTCTGCTCGTGCTAAGCTTTTTTCTATTTTAAGTGTGTATTTTGTAGTTCACCTTCCATTTGGAGAGGATTTAATTTCAGAATTTTTTAAGGGTTTGAATTTTACCAGATTTTCTTTTCACCTGAGCATAAAAAGACGACTTTCCATGAGCTTACTTTACAAAATAAATTGAGGTTTTAAGTACGTTGGGATTGGGAAGCAGGGCAGTAGTAGTTACGCAGTACTAGAATTCTGGACCCGACTTGTTTACTGAATGTGAGTAATGATAGCCAAAGCATAAAGGTTTTCTGTGTTTATATTTTATGATGCAGACAGCATCATTCTTCCCCTTGTAAGTTTCCAAAGTATAACCAAACGTATTCATTTAACCTGTCGTAAATGTGCTATTTCAAGTGTTCCTGTTGCCCATACCAGGAGAACTCTAGAAGCTTTACGAAAACAGTGTTTTAACAACTTGTACCAATTTGAGAATTCTAATAAATGTTTCTCATGTGTTTGTAGGATTTGGAGATTGTGTATTCCTATCTACATGGAATGGAAGCCTTGTCTAACCTGAGAGAACATCAGCTAAGGTATGATACTTTATCAAAACACTACTGCTTGTGTGCGGAGAAAAGGTGGTCAGAGTTGTGTAGAAATATGTATTTTTTTATAGACATGACAACCTTAAAGATGTGATTTGATTTCTTATAAAATGTGGAGATAGTATTTTAATCATCTATTCACCACTTGCATGTTGACCCTTCCACCGAAAAGGCCAAGGTGGCTGCAAACATTTTTCATTATGCTTACTTTTTATTAAACCAGGATTCCATGGTTTATATGAAGTAGTTCCTAATTTTTATTACAGATTTCTTAGGGAAAGTGTTAACTTTTATGGGAGGAAGTGTCATCAAGATTGAATACAATGAAGAAATTTTAATGTTTCTATTCTTAAGATGTTTTCAGCTGATTATAGTTTTGTCTACACTTCAAACTCTTCGGTGTGAAACTTTTTCCATGCTAAGTATGCATCCAACCCGAATTTATTTAGAAAGGCCTAACGGAAGTGACTTTTCATCTGCTTCTGAGAGTGGGAGTTCAGAGCAAGAAGTGTCTGGCTGTCCTCTGTTCTCCCCTCTCCCATGGAAAAGGCCTACTGAAATCCCTTATGTACCTCGATCTCCAGATTTTCTGTCCCTGGAGTATCTGGACAGCTAAGCAGTTTATGCCAGAGGCACTGACTATACCTTAGGCTGTCTTTTGACAGACCCTCTTTTATGGTTATTCCTCTTCTCTGTCAAGTGTTTCAAATAACGAAGAGTGATTGGAAAAGAAAGATAGGATAATCTTGAAGGTGATGTGGGGAGCACTCTGGAAAAGTAAAGGGGCCAGTCTTCTGCCTGAAGTGGAGACAGTGGAGTTGGGCAGAGGACAACTGCAATTTACTCTGACTCTGCTTCTGCTACTAATATTCAGAGCTGAATTCTCCAACTCCTACAGGAACAACTCTTACACATCTTTTTATCACTCCCACATCCGGATGATGCATAATTCATAGCATAATCTTGTTTTAGTTGATTAGAAAGTTATTTAACAGACTTTAAATTTAATCCTCAATGACAGCTAAAATTAAGATACTTCACAGTAAGGTTCTACGTGAAGATGTGGTCATGACAGACAGACAGACATATGGTGAAATTATTAGGAAAATAAAATTCAGTTAAAATAAGTATACAGATTTTACTTTTCTTTTTTTGGCTGCAAAATAAAATTTCTACTAGGAACAACTTTTCAGCTGTCAGGAAAATAAGTGATGATTTGAAGTTGTGTCCTAACTGTACTAACTTCACCTTTATTGAAACATAGTCATTATTTCATTATTTCTGAAATTGTTAGTGCCTCAATATATATTGAACAGAGATGTTGGTGACAGTACACCACTCTTCTGCACCGTACCTCAAACTGAAAAGCTGGCTGTTTGTGTCCTGTTCTTCCTTTCTATTGGCCTTGTTTTACTAACACTTTCATCATGTGTATCCCTGCTTGCTGCTTCTAACCTCTGTTATGAATGCATTTTTTTATTTTCAGACTTTCAGACAGTAAATGCTGTACATAGAGTACAATTTCCGGTCCCGAGTGAAAGCCCTAATCATTTATGTACTGTAATAATAGAATCTGTTGTTCAGGTTCTATGTTAGTTTGTGCTTGCTGTTGTGCAGAAATTTTGGACAAATTATGTACTACACATGCAAATGATACTTGGTCACAAAAACTACAAATAAATATAATCAAGACTTTTTTATTAATTTGAGCTACGATGTTTTTGTGGCTTAAAATTCAAGGAAAGAAATTCAAGTAAAAACTTTTGATGAAATTCCTCTCTTTTTAAAGATGTGCATGTGTTTGACTTTAAGACATTTTCAGGTGCCCTCATGTAAACATCTTTCAGGAATTTCAAGTGGTAGTATTTGGACATCAGTGTGGGGCTGGGAGTTGCAAAAGGACTTGAATAACGCTATTTTAGGTGCTAGTTTTTGATGTCCTGCTTTGTCATTTACAAGCCAAAATTCTGCAATTGTGAGAAAATAAATATTTTTTTCCTTTAAGTACCTGAGACATTTTGCAATGTGACTGTTGACTTAAAAACTCTAATTACATCTGCTTTGGAAGGAAGCCACGATCATACTCTGTTAGTGTTTCTGTTACACTATCATATGCAAAACTTTTACTATATCCAGTTCTGCATAGCTAGAATTGAAGTGACTTTTAACTTGTTAACGAAGATCAAAGTATGCACATATGGTTGCATGATATGATGATATGTGGTTTTTGGCTTCCTGTCCAGAATGAGATTCTTGCAGAGGAATGTGTGGAACTTGTGTAGTTCTCCCAGCACAGTAAATTCTTAGAAGAGAGCTTCTGTTTATAGGACCATACATGGAAAATGCTGGATTCCCCTGCAACTGTGGGAGAAAAGTTTTTACAACTTTTTTTAGGATACAGCATTTCTTGTGGCAGAGACATGCCACAAAAAGCCCTGGGATGCATTAAAACTATTGCATTAGATATAGCCCTTAGTGTAGTGAATAACTTATAGCCTGCTCCTGATATAATCTTGAATTTATTACATTTGTTCAGGAGGTGGGCAAGATGATATTCTAGTGAAAATTGAACGCTCACATTGGGCAGAACTAATACTATTTTCTAAATATTTGAGGAAGTAATCTAGTTTCTACTCTTCAGTAACTGTAACTTCTGTTTCAGCTTAATACAAGAGTTGAAACACTTGACTTCCTTCTCTGAGAGGCTTTTCCTGCTATTTATTACTATCCAAACAATCATATCAAAACACCATAAAACTCGCATGCAGTGCCTGTGTAGAATGGTGAACTTGCTTGACTGAATCAAGAATGCATTTCCTTTGCTTCCAATTCACAGGGGAACAAAACTTGCTTCTTAAATAAACTGATTCTATTTCCTATAACTCCTACCCCTACATGGCCTATTGCCCAGAGTCTTTTTTGACCAGCAGGATACAGACTGTCCAGCATCTTCCTTGAACAGTATTTTTATTTTTAAGTCTCTTTTTCGAGCAAAGACTTTTCGCGTACTTTTTTTCTGCTGTCTTTAATGATCTTGTAACCAGTAACCTCATGTCTACTCTCAACTTCCCTCTCAAAACAGAGGATCAGAAAGGGTTGTATGAAGACCCTAGGGTTTGAAGCAGACAGTAGCTTTTCCAGGTCTGTAAAGAATTTTGGCAAGACTTGATCCTCTGCTGGTGAGAAGTATCTCAGAAAGAGAAAGCCTGAGATTCAAAAGGTTGCTTGCTGTGCAAGGAAGTAAAAAGTTTTTTAGTTAGCAGAAAAACTTTCTATGGAAATTGCCTATAAAAAAAGCTCTCGGAAATGATCAACTCAGTAGTGGGTAGGTCATTGAATAAAACCAAAATATTGGAGGGTGAGGGGAAGGCTATGGTAACAAAACTTGAGTCTTGAGCAAATAGATTAAGAACTCAAAACTTTCTATTAACCAATTATGAATTGTCAAGAAACCACTGTCACTGCAGACAGAAAAAGTGTTATTTTTTACTGGGCTGAACCAATAAGTAAAAACTTGAAACAAGTGGGTGCTAAGGTAATTCTTGTAGCAGCATATTGACTGCTGAAATCCATGACCTCGGAAGTCATGGGAAATGGCAGTAAGAAGCATTTTAAAGTTTGCACCAAATTCGGACCAACTCTTTCAGGCCTCAAATCGACTTCTCTGCCCATTAGCACCTGAGAGCTTTTTGTCGCTTTATTGTATCACTGGATACAATTAATTCTACTCCAGGTCGTTGATACTTTGAGGTTCTGATGACAAATCCTACAAGGAAGGAGAATTTCTTCTCCAAATTTTAATATAGTTCCTCACTTTAATGCCTATATGAGCCTCTTAGGCAAATCTCTGCATGCTTGTCTGTCAAATAGCTTTGGTGCTCCTAATCTCCTTCAGTGCCAGAGAATGTCCAAGGGAGGTGGTGGTTTTTGTGTCTCCTCCACCTCCCCAAAAATATTCAGTGTGCATTTCCTTGAGGCAATAGAAAGAAATGCTGTGTTGATGTTAGCACAAAGTTAACATTGCATTTCTTAATATGTGGTAAGCTCTTCTGTTGTCACTTTATTATGCCACATTTGTCAGGCACTTATTGAATGCAAAGATGTTTAATCCTCCCCTCTAGTCAGACAAGATTTTCCTGCAGGAAATTCTCTCTGCTTCTAGCCAACTGGGAGCTCAGCATTAAAGTCTCTTGGTAATTTTTAGGTTAATTGTCTTAATTTTAGCAAAATGAGAAACATCAGATTGCCATGTGACATAGTTTCGTGTCTTATCTATTGGGCTTGACTTGAAAAAGGAAGTATTGCTTATATCATGATATCTGTGATCAGTATTGCATATTGTAAGCTTATATCTATTTCTAAAATTTTGAATTGTTTCATAATAAAGCAACTTGTTTTTATCAGATCACTTGAAAAATGAGATCAATATCATTTTACCTGTTTTTTTCAAATGGAAGCAATTACATCCAAGATCCTAAATCAAATCTGATATTGGAAGAGCTAATAACTTTAGTGCTTAGACTAAACAATTTATTTTCTTAAATTAAGAATCAGCGTAGCTTTAAATTGATGGTAGTTTCTGTAAGTGCTGGAATCAAATGTGGAAGTGCTGACTAACTGCAGAAAGTGGAGTCTTTTGTGACGCTAATGTGAATCATAATTAAAAATGACTTCTTTCTTTCTCTTTCAGACTGATGTGTGAAACTGTTAGATACGAAAGGCATGAAGCAAATGAAGTTCTATACTAGTAAGTGTTCTTCCTTTTGCGTGATGTTCAAAGCATTCATTCATTCCAAAAAGCGTTAAAGACGAGGCTTAATGCCAACTCCCTCACTCAGTGCATAGTCTGTAAACACAAATGAGCTGCTTCGTTTTCATAATCCGGCAGTGGAGAAATTCGCTGGTGTCAGCAAGAGAGCTAACAGTAACTCTTGCTTGGCGAAGTACATTGTATTAATTTTTGTAACCAGTGAGATACAGAACTAGCGGATGTGGGATGTCTTCTCATTAGAGTAAGTTGTCGTTTGGTCTTGCATCAATTCTGTCACAGTAGTAGTGACCGGCTTCTTGTGCCAGCGGTGACAAATCGACAAATCTAATGTGGCTTATAATTAGTAAGGATGTGAACTAGTGTCATTTCAAATTTACAGTGGATATCTGAGGATTGCAGTTTCTTCCTTTGTGCAAACAGCTTGTTACAGCAATACGTCTACCATGTTTTTCACTTACTGCAGCTAACCTTTGCTCTCAATGCACTTTTTCTGGGTGGTTTGGTATCATGTGAATGTTTGTATACATAACATATACAAATAATGCATCTGTATGGCTTCTTTTATACGAATGTATTTTTCCTGTACTGACTATCACGAGGAAGATGTGAACAGATTTTTATATCAAGCTTTCACCATTCTGCAAGGTTAGATTGCTGTCTAGTGAAAAGCATGAACTGATCAGTTATGCATGGGAAATGCATGAAGTCAGAATGCAGGTGGGCAGATTCCATTGTAATCTGACTGAAATGATCTTCATTCATTTTGCATACTAATTTTCTAGTGATCATTGCATTGATGATTTGTCCTTTTGTAAGTAGTTGCTTTTTGTATCCATTATGCATAGTGATGTTTTTTGTTCAAGCCCAGTCTCATGGCTCCTTCTGTTAGTTTAAATTTGAATTATATGCTCAACAAATAAAAGCTGCTAGTTATACACACACTCCAGACAGGCCAAAGTTACCAGGAAATATATGTCTGAGGAAATACAGTGCACATACTGAAAACTGTGAAATCTGGGTTAACTTGAAGTGCTTTTTGCCATTCTTTTGCACTGATTTCCTTTGTCACTCCTTTCATGTGGCTTCATCTTCACTTTGGTTGTTTGCCTGTCCTTCCTATTTACTTACTCACTTGACATTTTTTTCTCCCCATGATTTATTCACTAGATTTATTAGGCAGTTTGGCAATTTCTGGATATAGATGTTAATGCAAATTATGCCTGCTCTAGTATTTCACCTCTGTGACTTAATGTTTAACAGGATAAACCTGAAAGCTAGCACTGAATGATCTTTGATTTTTAAAAAAGGAGTATTTTAAAGTCATGTGTAAATTAGGTCAGTATGAGTTGTAGTTTTATGTTTTGACTGGTAAATGAGCTCCACATGGTGAGAAAATCCTGCAGAATCTATAGTCTAGTTTCAGTAACTTTCCTCGCCTTGTTTCTGTGTTTCATAAATTCAGCATATGTATAAGACGACATTCTTCTAAACCACTGAATTCTAATTTTGTAGATATACATATGTTTGGAAAAATTCTTTGTTAGTACTGCAAGAGTTAAGTGATATGATAGAGATGTTAGAAACAATTCACTCAGTTATAAGCTGTAGGAAATGAACTTGGAGCATACAACCTGGTCATTTGTATTGGACATGTCAGACCCTTATTTTGGTTATGAAGGCTAAGATTTTAAAAGAGCATTAACACTGAATTCCAAGTCACAGACAGTTTTTTTTTCTTTCAGAGAGGGTGTGACTAGCATTGAAATTTAAAAGCCAATGCTAATCTTCTGTGTTCCTTAGAAAAGTCTGTTAAAATAGCTGCAATGGAGCTGTTAATAATTGACCTGTGTATGTATCGCCTCCCTGAGGCACAAATTCATACCTCAGCGTGGATAAGCTAAATTCTTATATCCTTACATGTTAATGTGGAAACTAATACAATTGCTCTGTTTATTTAACCAAAGTTTGTTCATTGTGAAAATTTTATTCATGCCTGCTTCCTCAGCTGTACTTATAAAAAGGTATTTTTCCATTAGTTACATGTAATGTTGAAAATAGTTATCCACATTCAGTATAAACATGATAATTTTTTATCCTCCTTTTTTTAAAAAAAAAGCTTTTAATGTCCGTAATGTCTAAATTAATGTCTAAATAGTAAATAGTTTTTTAATGGCCAAAGAGCTAAAATGGAACACGTTGTTTAAAATTGACTCATCTCATCTGCATTTACTTTACTATCAGCAGGTTTACATGCTAGTGACAAATTCGCAAACCCTGTGGCTAGCGCTCTGTTTAAATGGAAACTGGGTTATTAAAAGTGGCAGTTAAGCTCTAGTTATTCTTCATTTGCCAGTCATCTTACTACTTTCATTTGATGTAAAGTTAATGGTAAGAGGGCTTAAAACCTTCAAGGCAAAATTTCAGAATTGAGAAACACGCATACCTGATTGTCTTACCTGCTTCACAAGATTACTCTACTGAAATCTACTTGAAGGTCCTACTTAAAGAGTACATAGTTTGGTCACTTAGATATGTATTTTAATCAGTGATTCATAAAGATGTTTTTTCCTCTATATGTAATATTCATACTTGGCATTTCCAAAGGAAGTTTCTGATCAGCGTTTTCTTTAGAAGCCGAGGTTTTAGGAGACTTGTAGATTGGGCATATACCTTTTTATCCCTGAAGGACACATTTTATTTATTTATTTTTTTTTTAGAGCAAAATTTAAGTGTTTGCTATGATGTCAGAGAGGTAGTAAATATTTGGTTCTAAGCTTTGTAATGAATATGCTTCTAATAATAGAAGCACTTCTTTTTCCCCTCATTAGTCATTCAGTGGTTATATGTGACTTTCAGCCACGCTCTGCAATATTTGTGTATATTTGGAAGCATTTAATTTTGCTGGGGATTTGTCACATTACCCGTGTAAGGGGCCCCCAGTGTGCGCCTGGGTTCTCTTCCTGCAATTTTCACTACTGCCGTAATTTAAAAAAAAAAACAAAAAAAAAAAACATATGGAATAGAAATTGTAATAGGTTTTCACTTTGTCTGAAATAGAAGCCTAAAGCTGTGTTTCAAAATTGTGCAAAATATTCTTCCTACACAGCACAGGAGAATTAGACTATGTGAAAGCCTTCGCACAGATGTTTTCTTTGTTATCTAGATCAATGCATCAATGTTGTTTGGGAACAGGCCTACCTTCTCTGTAATGAAGTCTTGTATTGTCTTTAGTTTCCATTATTTTCTTCTCTAAACATATTAGATTGGACAGCAGGTCATCAAATTTAAATATTTTCTGCCAAAGTCATTCAGTAATAAAACCTTATGTCTATGAATTGCCATGGTGCAGCCCAACATGGTTTTGTCATCACGTTCTCTTTGATTTCCCTGCAATTGAACCTGGAACTAACTTAGCTGCTGTTTATAATGTTTTTAAAAAAAAATACAAAGAAACCCAACTCAGCTTATTGTGAAGAATATCTTATTTTTTTAGAGTGACCCTTTCAGCCAAAGCATGTTAGGGTGTAAGCTGCTACCTTCCACATGTCCATTCTAGGAAGACTGTAAGAGTTATATCTTGGATTTAAGGTGTTATCAGTAGCAAATTTCTCAGTCTGTAGCAATTCAGTAATATGCTAGTAGTTTTGATTGTGTTGATTCTTGGAAAAGGGTGAGTTTGTCAAGAAGAGTAGTTATCTCTTGGACATCTTCAAATGAATTTTAGGGAATTAATATCTGTGTTTAGAAAAAGCTCTTTACTCTAATTTTAATGTGTTTTTATACTCATGTCATTTAGTTATGCAGCCTTGTGTATTTTAATGAAATTTAGTGTTTTAAGAAGCATATATTGTGGCCTATAAAACAAAACTAGAATGTATGCATGTGAACTACAGATATGGAACGGAAAAACATTATATGCAAAATCATGTTATCAGTACAGAGAATGTCCACAGCTGTTGTTGAAATGAAAAATGACAATCTCTTAGCTTCTGAGTTTTGGCTAGGTAGGATGGATGTGCTAATAAAGTCATATTTGCACGATTATGTGTTTTCTTGCTATTTCTGTCATTGCCCACTTATCAAATAAAACTATATGTACTGGCATGAAAAACATCCACTTGCGTTAAAACTGTAATACCTATATCAGTGATGTTGCTAGTGGTTTGAATATTTCAGTTGATGGCTATGGTTTTGATTTGTGGTAATAAAAGCTTAAAAACAGTTGCTGGGTGGGGGAGGGAGGAAGGGAGAAGGTGATGAGAAAGGGCGAAGGCTATAGAAAAGATAAGGCTACATAAAATTTTGATCAGTCTTTTTGCGTATCTCCTTTTCAGAACTAAATTCTCATGTCTGGTAGCTGTAATGTCACCGTCCAGTCTTAGTGTGATATAATTCAGTGAAATACTTGCTTCATAGCCATGTGGAGTTCTCCGGAGCTGCTTGGCCCAGTCATAAAGCCTAAAGTAAAAGAAATCTGGAAAGGAGAGAAGAACAAGATTTTTTTAGTATTAGTGCATTTCATTAGATAAAGAATGGTTGGAAAAGGCTGAGTGGTGTTAGGTTTGTGCAACTTTGGATGGGGTTATGTTAGGCCGTTGGCCCAGGGCATTGGGGAGGTGGACTCGAAGCAGTGGGGAACCTGCAGAACATCTTGAGGGACATGAAAGGAAAAGTGCTGTGACCTCACAATCTATCTTGTACCATACAAAAAACTGAGTAAGGATTTTGGACGCTCTTTGTGAAGTATCTGGGTGTGTATAGTGCTAAGCTGCAGTTTATTTGCAGCTCTGTGCAAGGACAGATGAGAAATGGATCTATGAGTGCCCTTTAGAAATGGGAAAAGGAGAGAAGATCTTATTTTAAGTCGTACAATAAAAGTGTCATTTAACAAAGTGATGACTCTTTCACACTAGTGTATTACCCTCAAGATTTTCGGAAGGATAGAAGCAGCATATACCAAACAAAAATTCTGCAGA